CTGTAACCTACACAACTTCACTGCATGAAAGTTAATCTTTTGACTGTTGCACCACTCCATCGACCAATCAGCCGAAGTATGACCAATCAAAGGTACGCGAGTGGATGGGCGACAGAGTTCAAAATGCTGTTTCCCTTGATTTCCGATTTTTTAGTGAGCCATAGGACGACATTGATAGTTGTAGAAGATTACACAAGTTGGCAAAATCCATTTTCGCAATGGCACATCAGGTTGATCAGACTTGAAGTAAGCTGGGGAGAGATCCCCAGTGTCAAAAAGTTACATCTCGTGATACTATATATCCAGAACTTCATGTTCTTGCAGAAGAGATTTCAGAGTAAGAAAAGAACTAACAAATTAGTGATTAGAGTAATGATCAACTCTTACAGTAACAATTACTTACCTAAAGATCTACATTAGAAAAGAAATCTATCAGCAAATCATGCAGAACTTACATCATTCCCTTCAGAGGTGCTTGGCTCTTCACCTGATAAGACGACGGGAGCTGTGTCAAAAGTGGCCTTTTGATGCTTCTTTTTCGCAGCATCCTCCTGTTTTGGTGGTAAACGAATTCCACCCACACGATAACGAGATAGGCAAAAGTTCAAATATTCACAGACACTTTTCGCTGTTACTGTCATATCTACCTGAAATAGATTAAAGGTCTGATAATATGACAAATAGATAAAGTATATAAATGTAGTATATAAATAGATAACTTTAGTATTTAAAAAAATAATAGATGGAATTAAGATATATCGTTGTGAGGAAGCCAATTGTGTGCTCTGGGCAACAGATCTAGCTGGTATTCTAATTTATTTTCGCTTATGAAGAAAGCACCTACGCCTTTTTTGACTTGAGTAGTAAACTCGATTTTGCAAATTTCAAAAGGGTAGATGCAGCGTAGAGGGCTTGGTGTGTCTCTAAGTCAAAGGTCTGTTCATAACGACTATTTGTGCTAAATCAGATATAACTACGACGTCAAATTTCGAAATTTGAAATTCTGGAAAAGAACTAACATCAAAATTCTTCGCGTTCTCATTAATTCTGTCAACTAAGTGAAGAGGGATATCCGTTTCATTAACATATAACACTAATTGACCATTCGATTCGTCCGTTAATGAAGTGAAGCCGATTCCCAAAGAGGCCAATTCCGTAGCAATAAACTGTGCCTAAAATGATAGAAACTATTACAAAATTTCTGAAGCTTGTATTTCAGATTAGTTATCTTACAGCGTCCACGAAATGATGATAGCATATATGCCTTCGCACTTTTATGAGAGATTCATAGCGTTTTTTAGCCGTTTCAAAGTCAACTTTATTGACAATCACAAGAGTCGAGAGCAAGACGGCAGTATGGTCGTTCTTTCGACTAGTTCGTCGAAGTGCACCCTGTTTTTCGCGCTGACCGCAAAGATAGCATGGCTTCTTCCTAGTGTTCTTTGCACTCATCTGGAAAAAACAAAGATTGCCAAACGCAGTGTCGAAAACAATGTGTGCAGCAATTGTTAATTGGTCATAACAAATTTTTATCTTAAATTATTAGCAAATCATT